AATCCTGGATTAGAAAAATTAATATTGTTAAAATGACAATACTCCCCAAAGCAATTTGCAGATTCAGTGCAATCAGAAATAAAAAATAATCCTAAAATTTATATGGTACCAGGAAAAACCTGAAATAGCCAAGGCAATCTTAAGAAAAAGGAACAAAGCTGGAGGCATGTCATTACCTGATTTCAAATTACACTGCAAAGTGATGATAACCAAATCAGGATGGTACTGGCCTATAAACAGACACATAGGCCAATAAAACCGAATAGAGGACCCCAGTATAAATTCACACATTTAGAGCTGACTCATTTTCCACAAAGGTGGCAAGAACACACAATGAGGAAAGCACTGTCTCTTGAATAAATGGTGCTGAAAAAGCTGGATAACCATATGCAGAAGAATTAAACTAGACACCTATTTTTAATCATATAAAATTTTAATTCAAAATGAGTTGAAGACTTAAATCTAAGAGATTGAAACTATGAAACTACCAGAAGTTTCTGGTGAGGAGACACTTCAAGACATTGGTTTGGGAAAAGAGTTTTTGGGTAAGACCTCAAAAGCACAAGCAAGAAAAGCAAAAATAGACAAATGGGATAACATCAAGCTAAAAAGCTTCTGCATAGCAAAGGAAATGATCACCAAACAGGCAATACATAGAATAGAAGAAAATATTTGCAAACTATCTGGCAAGAGATTAATACCCAGAATATATAAGGGGCCTAAACAACTCAATAGCAAATAAATTAATAATAATCAAGTTTTCTAAATGTGCAAAAGATCTGAATGGACCTTTCTCTAAAGAAGACATAAAAATGGCAAAGAGGTATGTGAAAAAATATTCAATGTCATTGTATTAGTTTGCTTTGTGTTTCTATAAAGGAATACTTAAAGGCTGAGAAATTTATTTTTTAAAAAGAAGTTTATTCAGCTCACAGTTTTGCAGGCTGTACAAGCATAACAGCAGCATCTTCTCAGTTTCTGGTGAGGCCTCAGAAGCTCTTACTCATGGCAAAAGGTGAAGGCGGAGCAGGCATGTCACATGGTGAGACAGGGAGCAAGAGAGAGAACAAGAAGTGCCAGACTCCTTTAAACCGTCACCTCATGCATGAACAAATAGAGTGAGAACTCACTGCCACAGAGAGAGCACCAAGCCATTCATGAGGGATCTACCCCTATGACACAACACCTCCCATTAGGCCCCACATCAAACATTTGGGGTTTCAGATTCCAAGATGACGTCTGGTGGGATGAACATCTGAACTGTATTAATCACTAATCATCAGTGAAAAATAAATCAAAACTACAACGAGATGTGTTTTTGCCCGTTATAATGGCCTTTATCCAAAAGATAGCAATAACAAATGCTGGAAAACATGCAGAGAAAAGGCAACCCTCACACACCTTTGGTGGGAATGTAAATAAGTACAGCCACTTTAGAGAATGGCCTGGAGGTTCCTCAAAAAATTAAAAAATAGAACTACTATATGATCCAGGAATGCCACTACTGACTCTATATTCAAAAGAAAGAAAATCAATTTATTGAAGAAATATCTGCACTCCCATGTTTACTGCAGCACTTTTCACAATAGCAAAAATATAGAATTAAACTGAATGCCCATCAATAGATGGGTGGATAAAGAAAGTGTGGTATATGTGCACAATAGAATATTATTCCACCATAAAAAGAATGAAATACTGACATTTGCAGAAATATGGATAAAATGGGGTTCATTATGTGAAGTGAAATAAACCAAGCACAGAAAGACAAATATTGCACAATCTCACTCATAGGTAGGAAGTTAAAAAAGTAGATCTCATAAACAGAGAGTTGGATTAGTGGTTTCCAGTGGCCAGGAAGTGGAGGGAGGAGGGGAATGTGAAAAGAGGTTGACTAATGAATACAAAGATACAGTTCGAGAAAAGTAATAGGACCTTGTGTTCAATATTCAGTAGATCAGCAGGGTGGCTATAGTCAACATTCATCTATTGTACATTTCAAAATAGCTGAAAGAGAATAATTTGAATGTTCCTAGAACAAACAAAAAATAAATATTTAAGGTGATGGATGACCCAATTATCCTGATTTGACCTTTGTACATTATATGAATGTATCAGATTATCCTATTTACCCCAGAAATATGTACATCTATTACGTATCAATTAAAAAAAAAAGAAAAGAAAAATGTAAGATGAAAACCTATCCCTTTAAAAAACTATCCCTTTTAAAAATAACAATATGGATGAAAACTAGATATAAGTGTCCATGACTTTTCTATACAGGTGAAGTGTTGTTGCCACCACGAAGGAGTATTTCACACCAAAAGCATGTGTTTCTAAAAAAAGAGAAAAAAGTATCAGTAAAGGAGTGGGCCAAGTAATTGCAGCTCAGCCTATAATGTAATTACTTTAGTTTTTCTGAATATGTTATGCGCTTGGGGATAGGTCAGGATTTTTATTCTTCGGCATTTAGAAGTATCCTTATGGGGAGAACGGATGGGGATGGTAAGGTAGTTGAGTAATATGGGAGAAATGGAGATAGTCTTTAGACTTCTTTACAATGAGAAAAGGAGTTGTCAATAAGGCTGTCTTAAATAAAAACAAAAGCAAGAGCAAAGGTACAGGAAGACCTGTACATGTGTACATCTAAGGAAGCTCATAAAATCAGTAGGAAGATTGGAGAGCTGGTCCATAAAATAGGCAGGAACAAGGGCAATTCTAAAAGATAAAGAAACCAAAAATACAGAAACCAGGCTCCATTAAAAGCATTCTACTCAAGGTACCAGTTTCTCATCCCTTATCTTTGCGTCTCAAGTCCCAGACATGAGCTTTCAATAAGTTAGGGTCCGTATGCCCTTTCTGCCAGTGGCAGAAAAGTCGGATCACTCCCCCATAATGACTTTTCCTGAGGGGGAAGGCATTGTTTCCTACCGACACTGCACACAGTGAGGAATTTCCCAAACCAAAAATAGGCACTGATGCTGAATATAACCACAAAAATAACTGAAAACAGCAAACAAAATGAATTGTCTCTGATACAGTCTACCCTTTGTCTGATCAGTATTAAAATACAATATTCCTTCTTTCATAAAATTTTATAATTTTTTTAAAATTCTAACAATATAACCATCCTTTTTACAAGTTAAAAATAATCATTCACTGCTCAGATCTTCAAACATTAAGTGCGTTCAGTAGCTCTAGATCCAAGATTCTGGTATCAATCAATTCTTCCTTTTGCACCAATCCTGTATTTTTCTGCAGTTGCACAAAATTGTAAAATTTCCCAATGCCAGTATAGTTTCTCTGAATTGGTTTATTTATTTTCTATTAAGTGATCCATGCTATGGGGATCCTTCCTAGTAAAATAGGTGTTTATTAGGGGATAGACAGTAAAGTATATGTGGAGAATGCAAGTAATCTGAATGACCAACTACTTGTGTATTCAGAACCTTCTTTGATTCTGCCCTGTATTTATTATTTCTGTTTAAAATGCTCCTAAGCACAGCTGCATTCATGTCTCTGTTGATTAAATCATAAAACCATTCATGTTAAGCACAGAAGGGCTTGATTGTGGTTACAACTCAAGATAATGAAGAATGTGGATTGGAGTTTGAGGAAAACTGTTTTCACTTGAAACACCTTTCTCAAGCCAGGGAATAGTTGCAGCCCCTTTAAGCAAGGGAGAAATAGAAATATCTCGGGATAAGGGAAATTGATTAAGATACTATATCCAGATATATTCTAAGTTCTGATTTACATTTTAATACAATATATATAAATTGTATATTACATGGCACAGGAGAATATTCACAAAAGTTAAGATCTAATATATGTGGGAAAATTTGGTCAGATAACATTTATATGTTTGTTCAGGTTTCAGATATAGTCTTCAGATATTTTCCTTGACCACTGCAGGAACTCAACACAGTAGTTGTTAGAAGTAGTAGTAATAGTGACAAGTTCAAGTAAATGGGAACAAAGTTCTGTCCATATTCCACACTTGCATTATTATGTAATGTATCAATTATGAACCAGGCTTTTTTGGGGTACTCAATCACATCCTGAAGGCTCAAAGAAAGTTTAAAGTCACACTTAAGGCCCTGGGCTTATTGGCTCCACTACATTAAGCTAGAATACATACGTGCTGACTTAGTTATTTAACAACTGGAGGAGGAGACGTGCTTTTTCCTGCGTAAAGCTAAATCCTCCACCACTATCTTTGATCTCATTTTTCCTATATTCTTCAAATATTCCAACTGTGTCTTTTCTCATATTTCTATAATGACTTTCTTTGCTTAGCATAAAAATATACAGTCATGTGCTACGTAACAATGTTTGAATCAATGACCAACTGCATATACAATGTTGGTACCACGACATTATAATCGAGCAAAAAGGTTCCTATGGCCTAGCGGTGCCGTAGCCACTGTAGGAGTGTGGAGCAACACTTCATTCAGGTGTTTGTGGTGATGCTGGAGTGAACAACTCTGTGCAAATTTTTATCATTATTTTAGAGTATACCTCTACTTATTTAAAAAGTTAACTTTACAACAGCTTCAGGCAGGTCCTCAGGAGGTATTCTAGAAGAAGGCGTTGTTATCATAGGAGATGACAGCTCCATGCGTGTCATTGACCCTGAAGAACGTCTAATGGGACAAGATGTGGAGATGGAAGACTGATATTGGTGATCCTGACCCTGTGTCGGCCTAGGCTAATTTATGTATATGTCTTTGTGTTTTTTTTTTGTTTTTTTTTGTTTTTAATTTAAAAAGTAAAAATAAACATAGAAAAAAGCTTATAGTATAAAGATATAAAGAAAGAAAATATTTTGTACAGCTGTAAAAAGGTGTCTTTTAAGAGTCAGGAAGTTAAAAATATTTAAAAGTTTATAATGTAAAAAAATAAGCTAAAGTTCATTTAATATTGAGGAAAAGAATTTTTATCAAATTTACTGTTACCTCAGTATACAGTGTTTATAACATCTACTGCAGTGTATGGTAATATCCAGGGCCTTCACATTCATTCACCACTCACTCACTGACTCACCCAGAGCAAATTCCAGTTCTGCAAGCTCTATTCATGGTGCACCACTTTTTTAAAAAATTATACTATATTTTTAGTGTGCATTTTTGTATGTTTAGATATGTTAAATTAACAAATACCACTGTGTTACAATTGTCTACAGTATTAGGTACAATACCATGATGTACAGGTCTGTAGCCCAGCTATGATAGGCTATATTATATGCCTAGGGGTGAAACAGACTATACCATCTAGGCTTGTGTTAGTACACACTATAGTGTTTGCACAATGATTAAATTGTTTAACAACGCATTTCTTAGAACATATTCCCATTGTTCAGCAACACATGACTGTATATGTGAGCACCACGTTGCTTATTGAAAATCAATGAGATTTTTAAATAAGACTGCAAGGAAGGAAAGCTATAAAGTGTTTTTGTTTGTCTGTTTCTTTTTACCTTGATTGAGATCTCTGAAACATTTGACCTTTCTTCTTTCTCTCAATGCTCCTCTGGTTTCTTTTTACATGTCTACCTTCTCAGTTTTCTTGAAGAGACTCCATTTTCCTTCTAGATACATCATCCACATATTGTGGCTTCAACTACTTCAATTACTTATATTCTAATGGCTGGATTCAGCCATTCTATTTCTCTCTCTCTCTCTCTCTCTCTTTCTCTCTTTCTCTTTTTCTCTCTCCTTCCCTCTCTCTCTCTCCCTCTCATCTCTTTCTCTCTCTTCCCCCCCCCACATATTCATTGACTACCTCTTATTTATGTGCCATTGATGTATATACCAGGAACATGGTATAAAAAATGTAAAGTCCCAGATCTATGGAAATTACACAATCTGGAGAATGGGAACGTCAATGAACCGATAAGCAAGCATACAGCATTCCAGGATTATTAGTGTCATAAAGGGAAAAATGTAGGGAAAGGGGATAGTTATGGGTCATGGAAGGCCTTTGTGAGATAGAATTTTAATAAAGAAATAAATAATGCAAGGGATAATTATGTTTAAAAATCTGGCATAAAAGCATTCTAGGCAGGGTGAACATCGAGTTCAGTAGGAATGTTCTTGGCAATTACCACAAATACCAGGAATGCCATTGCAACTGGAGAATATGTATACATGGGGAGAAATGATAGGAGTTAAGTTGGCAGAGTTAGGTAACTAAGAACCAGATTTTGTATAGCCTTATAGTCCTCTCTCTCTCTCTCTCTCTCTCTCTCTCTCTATATATATATATATATATATATATATATATATATATATAAATTTCATATGATTTTGTTAATCTCTACGTATATGTGTCTCTATTAGTCAGGATTCTCTAGAGGGACAGGGTTCCCTAGAGGGATAGAATGGATGTATATATAAAAAACAGTTTATTATTAAGGATAGATATATATGTATATGAAAGGGAGTTTATTATTTGGGATAGATATATATATGAAAAGTAGTTTATTATTAGAGATAGATGTATATATGAAAGGCAGATTATTTTTAAGGAGTATTGACTCATACAATCAGAAGCTGAAGTCCCACAGTAGGCTGGCTGCAAGCTGAGGAGCAAAGAAGCCAGCCTGTATCCCAAAACCTCAAAAGCAGGGAAGCCGACAGTGCAGCCTTCAGTCTGCGGCCCTAGGTCTGAAAACCCCTGGCACACCACTGGTGTTAAGTCCAAGAGTCCAAAAGCTGAAGAACTTGGAATCTGATGTTCAAGGGCAAGAAGCATCCAACACAGAACTATGAAGCCTGGAAAACGAAAACTCAGCCAGTCTGGTCCTTCCATGTTCCCCTGCCTGTTTTTATCCTAGCCTCACTGGTAGCTGATTTGATGGTATCCATCCAGGCTGGAGGTGGGTCTGCCTCTCCCAGTCCACTGGCTCCAATGTTAATCTCTTTTGACTACACCGTCAGAGACACACCCAGGAAAAATACTTTGCATCCTTCGGTCCAATCAAGTTGACATTCAATATTACCCATCACAGTATTCAGTATCTATTGGAAATTCTATTTGGATATCTTAAGGACATCTGAAACCAATTCATGTCCCAAATAAAGTCTATTATCTTTCCTCCAGATCTGTTTTTTTTTTATTTCCTGTTTCTTAGCTTGATGAATAGTACAGTATAGTTATCCAAAGAAAAATTTGGAAATAATTTCAGCTGTCTTTGTATACCTTATCTCTGACTTCTAACATCTGCCATAAGTGTGTTGTAACTTCTTAAAATCTCTTGGCCCCAATTCTCCAATGTCCACTTCTTTCAAGCCTACAAAATACCTGTGTTACTCGTAGTTTGTTTTCAACTTTCATACATTCTTCTCCCCACATTCATTGAATCCATTATTCACATCAATGTTAGAATTTATTTTTGGAAATATTAAACTTATTATAACCTCTGTATTAGTCTGGTAAGGCTGCCATAACAAAATACCACTTATGGTGTAGCTTAAACAATAACTTATTTCTCACAGTTCTGGAGGCTAGAAATCCAAGATCAATGTGTCATCAGCTTCAAATTCTTTTGAGACCTCTCTGTTCATCTTGCAGAGGGCATCTTCTCTCTATGTCCTCACATGACCTTTTCTCTGTGCACAGGCATCCCTGGTGTCTTTTCCTCTTTCTATGAGAATGCCCACCATATTGGATTAAAGCCCCTCCCTTATGACCTCATTTAACCTTAATTACCCCTTCAAAAGCCCTATCTCTAAATACAGATACATTGGGGGTTAGAGCTTCAACATATGTATTTCAGGGAGACATGATTCAACCCATAACAATTGATTTTGCGAAAATCCTCCAGCGCCCATTCCATCCCCTATGAGACATCAGAATAAAGCATAGGCACTTAAGATTCTGTATCACTTGATACATCATTTCTAATCATCTTCCATGCATCTCGTATATTCCCTTTGCTTCAGTCATACAATAACTAAGTATTTAAATAAATAAATATTTAGGTTCTTCAGGGACAAAAATACATAACAGAAAAAACTTCATGCTCCTTTTTGCCCATGAGTATAAAAATTCCAAGTCATCTGGTTAGAACTTCTCACTGCACTGTCCACTCTGATCATTACTCATTCTTCAAGATTTTGCTTATGTATTGCAGACAGTAGAGGAATCCTAGCTTACCTATCTGATTACAGTTCTATTTTTGTGGTATCTCAAACTCAATTACACATCTATAATAGCATTTTTAATGTTTTTTAACTTTTGCTTTAAGTTCGGGGTACATGTGCAGGCTTGTTATAAACCTAAACTAGCATCACAGGGGTTTGTTGTACAGGTTATTTCATCACCCAGATATTAAACCTGGTACCCATTAGTTATTTTTCCTGATTGGCTCCCTCTTCCCACCCTCCACCCTTCAATAGGCCCCAGTGTGTATTCTCCCCCTCTATGTGCCCATGTGTTCTCATCATTTAACTCCCATTTATAAGTAAGGATGTTATCGTGTAATGTGGGACTTACTGACATACCTGTATTTCTTCCTGACTGCTAGGCTATAAACCCTGTAGTAGTATCTAGTAGGTCCTTGGCACATAGCAATGAATTACTAAACATTGTAAAAGAAAGGAAAGAAGCAATAGTGATTGCAAATACAGGCAGTTTTTTCCTGTCTTTCCCAAGTTAGAATTATTCACCTAGTAAGTCTTTGATTTTCTGTGATGTGAAGACAGAAAAGAGAGTGTTGAAAAAAAAAAAAAAAAGTCGAGTATTTTGACAAAGTCATCATGGAGAACAGGGAAAGGAAACTATGGCAGTTTTATCAGATGGTGTCAAAGACTAATTGTAACAGCAAGTATAAATTTGGGAAAGTCAATAAAATTGCTAAAGTTTTACTGAGACTAGTTGGAATGGAGCTAAATACTGGATTAGAGCAATAAATGCTCATTTAATATTTAAAAGAAGGTGTTTTGAATTAAAAAAAAAAAAAAAACCAGTATCTCAAGAAGATATTTACCTGCCTCAAAATTTTTGAAACTTTTGGTCCTATGTAAATTGACCTGTAAACATATGGCTGAGAATAAATGAAAAGAGAAATTGATATAATAGTATTACATAAGTATCCTATAACAAAAGTGAGAAACCATTGACAACTTCCAAATATCTGGGAAATCCATGGAGTTTATTTAATCAATAGTATATAGTCCCTAACAAAATCTTGATATGCTTTGCTGAAAATTTCATCTTTAAAAAAAAAAAAAAAATGACACTACTCCAGGCCAGTTCTCCAGGCATAAGAGTTAATTTGTGCTGAAGTGAAATTTGCAAGAATCAGGGAGGAAGGAGCCACAGAGAATTTGAAAATAGAAAATTGACATTATTTTTGGAGAGCTAAACTAGCAGCACATAAATGCTTAAAGCAGAGATAGGTAAATTTGCCTTAGGGAGTGTGGAAAAGCAAGAAAATGTTTTCATATTTCTGCATAGCTAGGGATTCCCAAGTAAATCTTATTGGACCTTGGGACTTGTATAAAAAACTAACCTTTGCAGATAATTTATGACTGATTGCCTAGTGGAATAACTTCAAAAAAGTTTTGCTTTTAATAGGGCAATAAATAGCTTATAGACAGATATGAAACTGTTGTCTTCACATACTCTAAAAATTGGAGTCTGTTTATATCAATTTAGAACATTGACTTGAAAATTATAAATTCTTTTCAACTATGATAACTCCTTGAAAATGCAATTTAGTTTTTATAACTTTTTTATTATATATAAATTAAAATATATAAGTAAAATACAATTATAGAACTAAAATCACCTAGCATTTTCAAAGACTTTAGGGGATCCTAAATACTAGCCTAAAAAATATCATATATATATATGAATTGTGTGTCTATATATATGTTGTTTATATGTACAAATATACATTATATATAAATATATATATTACACATATACATACATATATATATATATATATATGAGACAAGGTGTCACTGTGCACCCAGGTTGGAGTATAGTGGGACAATCACAGCTCAGTGTAACCTCCAATTTAAAGGCTTTAGAGATCCCCCCTTCTCAGCCTCCTGAAGCAAAAATATAGATATTTCCT